TGTAACTCACATGTTGCACAGTAAACTTCTTGCCAACAGCTAGGGTGGTACTCCTATGTTGGCGAGGTAACCCTTTGCAAACAGCTAGGGTGTAACTCACATGTTGCCCAGTTAACCCCTTGCCAACAGCTAGGGTGTAACTCACATGTTGCACAGTAAACTTCTTGCCAGCAGCTAGGGTGGTGCTCCTATGTTGGCGAGGTAACCCTTTGCAAACAGCTAGGGTGTAACTCACATGTTGCCCAGGTAACCCCTTGCCAACAGCTAGGGTGTAACTCACATGTTGCACAGTAAACATCTTGCCAGCAGCTAGGGTGTAACTCACATGTTGGCCAGGTAACCGCTAGCCAACAGCTAGGGTGTAACTCACATGTTGTCTAGTTAACCCCTTGCCAGCAGCTAGGGTGTAACTCACATGTTGCCAAAGTAACTCCTTGCCAGCAGCTAGGGTGTAACTCACATGTTGCACAGTTAACTCCTTGCCAGCAGCTAGGGTGTAACTCACATGTTGCCCAGGTAACCCCTTGCCAACAGCTAGGGTGTAACTCACATGTTCCCCAGTTTACCCCTTGCCTGCAGCTAGGATGTAACTCACATGTTGCCCAGTTAACCCCTTTCCAACAGCTAGGGTGTAACTCACATGTTGCCCAGGTAACCCCTTGCCAACAGCTAGGGTGTAACTCACATGTTCCCCAGTTTACCCCTTGCCAGCAGCTAGGGTGTAACTCACATGTTGCCCAGTTAACCCCTTGCCAACAGCTAGGGTGTAACTCACATGTTGCACAGTAAACTTCTTGCCAGCAGCTAGGGTGGTGCTCCTATGTTGGCGAGGTAACCCTTTGCAAACAGCTAGGGTGTAACTCACATGTTGCCCAGTTAACCCCTTGCCAACAGCTAGGGTGTAACTCACATGTTGCACAGTAAACATCTTGCCAGCAGCTAGGGTGTAAATCACATGTTGCACAGTAAACTTCTTGCCAACAGCTAGGGTGTAACTCACATGTTGCACAGAAAACTTCTTGCCAGCAGCTGGGGTGTAACTCACATGTTGGCCAGGTAACACCTTGCCAACAGCTAGGGTGTAACTCACATGTTGCCCAGGTAACCACTTGCCAACAGCTAGGGTGTTACTAACATGTTGCACAGTAAACTTCTTGCCAGCAGCTGGGGTGTAACTCACAGTTTGGCCATGTAACCCCTTGCCAACAGCTAGGGTGTAACTCACATGTTGTCTAGTTAACCCCTTGCCAGCAGCTAGGGTGTTACTCACATGTTGCCCAGTTAACTCCTTGCCAACAGCTAGGGTGTAACTCACAGTTGCCCAGGTAACTCCTTGCCAGAATCTATGGTGTAACCCACATGTTGCTCAGTTAACTCCTTGCCAGCAGCTAGGGTGTAACTCACATGTTCGCCAGTTTACCCCTTGCCAGCAGCTAGGATGTAACTCACATGTTGCCCAGTTAACCCCTTGCCAACAGCTAGGGTGTAACTCACATGTTGCACAGTAAACTTCTTGCCAGCAGCTAGGGTGTAACTCACATGTTGGCCAGGTAACCCCTTGCCAACAGCTAGGGTGTAACTCACATGTTGCCCAGGTAACCCCTTGCCAACAGCTAGGGTGTAACTCACATGTTGCACAGTAAATTTTTTGCCAGCAGCTGGGGTGTAACTCACATGTTGGCCATGAAACCCCTTGCCAACAGTTAGGGTGTAACTCACATGTTGTCTAGTTAACCCCTTGCCAGCAGCTAGGGTGTTACTCACATGTTGCCCAGTTAACTCCTTGCCAACAGCTAGGGTGTAACTCACATGTTGTCTAGTTAACCCCTGGCCAGCAGCTAGGGTGTAATTCAAATGTTTCCCAGTTAACCCTTATCAGTAGCTAGGGTATAACTCACATGTTGCCCAGGTAACCCCTTGCCAGCAGCTGGGGTGTTACTCACATGTTGCCCAGGTAGCCCCTTGTCAGCAGTTGGGGTATAACTCATGTGTTGCCCAGGTAACTCCTTGCCAGCAGCTAGGGTATAATTCACATGTTGCCCAGGTAACCTATTGCCAGCAGCTGGGGTGTAACTCACATGTTGCCCAGTTTACCCCTTGCCAACAGCTAGGGTGTAACTCACATGTTGGTCAGGTAACCCCTAGCGAACAGCTAGGGTGTAACTCACATATGTCTAGTTAACCCCTTGCCAGCAGCTATGGTGTAACCCACATGTTGCCCAGTTAACTCCTTGCCAGCAGCTAGGGTGTAACTCACATGTTCCCCAGTTTACCCCTTGCCAGCAGCTCGGGTGTAACTCACATGTTGCACAGTTAACCCCTTGCCAACAGCTAGGGTGTAACTCACAGGTTGCACAGTAAACTTCTTGCCAGTAGCTGGGGTGTAACTCACATTTTGGCCAGGTAACCCCTTGCCAACAGCTAGGGTGTAACTCACATGTTGCACAGTAAACTTCTTGCCAGCAGCTGGGCCGTAACTCACATGTTGGCCAGGTAACCCCTTGCCAACAGCTAGGGTGTAACTCACATGTTGTCTAGTTAACCCCTTGCCAGCAGCTAGGGTGTTACTCACATGTTGCCCAGTTAACTCCTTGCCAACAGCTAGGGTGTAACTCACATGTTGTCTAGTTAACCCCTTGCCAGCAGCTAGGGTGTAACTCACATGTTGCCCAGTAAACTCCTTGCCAGCAGCTAGGGTGTAACTCACATGTTGCACAATTAACCCCTTGCCAGCAGCTAGGGTGTAACAAACATGTTGCCCAGTTAACTCCTTGCCAGCAGTTGGGGGATAAATCAGATGTTGCCCAGGTAACCCCTTATCAGCAGCTAAGGTGTAATTCACATGTTGCCCAGGTAACCCCTTGCCAGCAGCTAGGGGTAACTCACATGTTGCCCAGTTAACCCCTTACTAGCAGCTAGGGTATAACTCTCACTTTGCCAGTTAACCCCTTGCCAGAAGCTGGGATGTAACTCACATGTTGCCCAGGTAACTCCTTGCCAGCATCTGGGGTGTAACTCACGTGTTGGTAGCGGTTGTAGCCAGACGTTGTAGTACACTCCCACGTATTCTCTCCAACAAGTCTGTGATCTGTCAATGTACCCAGGTGCTCCCTCCTGAGCAGTATCAGGTTACAGTGTTGTCACCTTTGGGTTAGTTCTTTGTTGTTTTATATCCATTTACCTCTCTTACTCCCGTTTATTACATTTTTTACAAGATGACTGATATGCTGGTTATGAATTATGTTACAACTTGTACTCTTTTTACGAATAAATATGTTGAATGGTTGACATTGTTAATTATATGACAATGTGACTTCATGCTGTCAAGTTAGACTCCAATGGCAGTTGAATGGCTTGTAACCCTCCTTGTTGGTTTCAGCAAATAGCTAAACGTTTAAGACCTGCATCACTTCAAACATCCCCATACGTTAAGCCGTCATGCCCTGATACAGCTGGAATACTGTTAAAAGTGGCGTTTAACCAAACTCTCTCCCTAGAATAATCAACCCTTGAAACCTAAACTTTATACACGCCTATATATTACCCAACACGGGTTCGTTCCATAAAGCAGTCTTAACGCAACTCGTAACTCCCATACTTTAACATAGACTTACGACAGTCGTAGCACTAAGATTATTGTAACTCCCATACTTTAACATAAACTTGCGACAGTCGCAGCACTAAGATTATTGTAACTCCCATACTTTAACATAAACTTGTGACAGTCGCAGCACTAAGATGATCGTAAGTCCCATACTTTAACATAAACTTGTGACAGTCGCAGCACTAAGATGATCGTAACTCCCATACTTAAACATAAACTTGCGACAGTCTCACCACTGAGGTGATCGTAACTCACATACTTAAACATAGACTGACGACAGTCGCAGTACTAAGATGATCGTAACTCCAATACTTTAACATAAACTTGCGACAGTCGCAGCACTAAGATTATTGTAAGTCCCATACTTTACCATAAACTTGCGACAGTCTCAGCAGTAAGATGATCGTAAGTCCCATACTTTAACATAGACTTGCGACAGTCGCAGCAGTAAGATGATCGTAACTCCCATACTTTCACATAAACTTGTGACAGTCGCAGCACTAAGATGATCGTAAGTCCCATACTTTAACGTAGACTTGTGACAGTCGCAGCACTAAGATGATCGTAACTCCAAAACTTAAACATTAACTTGCGACAGTCTCACCACTAAGGTGATCGTAACTCACATACTTAAACATAGACTGACGACAGTCGCAGTACTAAGATGATCGTAACTCCAATACTTTAACATAAACTTGCGACAGTCGCAGCACTAAGATTATTGTAAGTCCCATACTTTAACATAAACTTGCGACAGTCTCAGCACTAAGATGATCGTAAGTCCCATACTTTAACATAGACTTGCGACAGTCGCAGCAGTAAGATGATCGTACTCCAATACTTTAACATAGACTTGCGACAGTCGCAGCAGTAAGATGATCGTAACTCCAATACTTTAACGTAGACTTGCGACAGTCGCAGCAATACGATCGCTTTCTGGAACGTGGATCAATTAAATACGAGGGTACGGGTGGTCCGAGGCTAGTCGTTATGCACAGTTGCGTTCCTTTGTTGACGAATGATCCTCCCACAAGCTGACACACCGTGACATGACTGGAATATTGTTCAAAGTGGCACTAAACTCAACACACTCACTCACTGTCCCCAGTGCCTGTATCTACCTCCTAAGATGGAGACTATGCGATTACAGTGTGTAACCTGATTAGGTCAGGTTGTGTGGCATGGTTTGTTTTGTCAATGGTTTCTGTGGTCCGTACCTCACACACTGACCCTGTTAGCTATTTGCATGTAAGACATCTTCCCGAGGCAAGGGCGTTAACTGACTATAAAAGTCCAGTTTCCACTGTTGGAATTCTAGAGTTACAGTTTGGCTGGACTAACGATTCTATGCATAGACAAATCATTATGTCAGAAAAATCAAGGGTGAACTCCCCAGTGTTTGAAATACGTTTTTATTATAAACAACAAATACAAACAATATTTACAACATATTAAAAAATACACAACAAAATAAAAATGAATCTATGACACTGTAAATAAAGTCATTCGTTGATTTCTGAAGAGTTTCAATCTTAACGTACCTGAGCTATCACAGTCTAATTTCAGACACAGTTCACCGCCAATGGCTACATAACCGCTCATGCGGCGTCACACAACACTCACTCACATGATCTTTTCGGTGATTTCAATATCCAAGGAAATTTGAACTTCACATTGCCAGCGTTGTGAGAACCTTGAATTGCCAGCGCTGTGAGAACCTTTAAGAACGAGTTCAAGTATGTCTCCCAAATGAAGTAACCTACGGGAAGGCAGACGCACTGACTCGCACCAGAACTTATCCTCTCGACTTATATGGTGTCTCGCTGAACTTCAGACGGGGAGCAGGGCCCTGTTTACCACATACTTGTTCATTGTGCTGTTTTGATTCTTTATTATGCTTGGTGTTGTGGAACGTCCCCTGTCATCGTCGACGAGCTTTCTGAAAGTCTTTCACGAGTCGCGACATTTCCTGCACTGATTCCAATAACCCTTCTCCATTTGGTGCGCATGCGCCGTGTATGTACCATTTCCGGTCACTGAGGTCCCTCATGTCAAGTTCCTCGACGACCTCCGATGGTTTAAGGGCACCTACGTACAGACACACAAGGATACATAACAAAAGGAAGATATAACAGGATCGGAAAATAGGCCTATTTTCAGCCATGCGAATAGTAAATAAATAGACATAATTTCTGTATGCGTAATGTCGAGTTGTGTCCCTTGACTGTATAAAACACACCTGATATATAAGTCATTGGCTATTATATGCCAGTGGCGTTGGGGTGGCCCAGTAGTCAAAGTGTTAGCTCGTGTCTCCGAAGACACTGGTTTGACACCACATCCCCACCGTGCAATTAATGAAGCCGATTTCTGATAACCCCACTTCATAACATGACAGGAATTTGTCTTAACCTGCTTATGGTATCAACCACTGGTTTGCCTACCGTAGGTCTTGACAGTCTGGTTCCCTGGGTATGCTGCGCTGGAGCTACAGTGCAGCGCCAGCGCCGCATACGCAGGAAACCAGGCTGTTGGTCTGATGCTTGTCAGCAGTAATTCACATGGACCATTCTGACGCACCCACCTGGCAAGTCCTGCTTGTTGGCGATCACCACCACCGGTACCCCCACCATCTCCGGCGTACTGCAGATTCCGTGCAGCTCCGACCTGGCTTCCTTTATGCGCAGACGGTCTGCGCTGTCCACCACGTAGATCAGACCTGGGGGTTATTCAAGAATTGACTTCATGTTTTGCCTTTACGGAAATATAAACGTAAAAGTCGGTGAGCACAATGTGTGAATAGGGATAGTCAACAATAATATCTTAACAGACTGCTTGCTTAATCATTAACACAAACACACTGTGGATCACAATATGAAACCAGTGACATCGTTTAGCGTAATTATGCACAAACCCCGCCCATTCCATTATCAGCCAATCAGAAACAGTAGTCCATTAGTGTTCGCGGCCTTTTTTCGACTCCATTTTGGTCGGCAATAACGACAGACAAGGTGACCCGTGAAGATCCGGGATAGAATAGGTCTTCAGCAACCCATGCTTGCCGTAAAAGGCGACTATATGCTTGTCGTAAGAGGCGACTAACGGGATCAGGTGGTCAGGCTTGCCGACTCGATGCATGTCATCGTATCTCAATTGCGTAGGTCGATGCTCATGTCGTCAATCATTGGAGTGTCTGGTCCAGACGCGATTATTTACAGACCGTTGTCATATAGCGGGAATATTGCTGAGTACAGCGTTAAACAAAAAAACAAACCAAACAGACAAGGTGCACTGCGATCCGTGGATCATGCCCTCTGAAGTGTGTGGCTCCCCGTGTGTAGTTCTTATATTACACCTACCTTGTGTGTTCAGGTAGTAGTGTTTCCACAGCTGTCTGATCTTCTCCTGGCCCCCAACGTCCCACACCGTGAACGTCACGCCCTTCACCGGACTGACCGTCTCCACGTTGAAGCCGATGGTGGGGATGGTGCACACGCTCTCGTTCAGCTTCAGCTTGTACAGGATGGTCGTCTTACCTGGGACAACACCACCATATTACCGAGACGGATAACGTTTGTAATGCGACGAATCCACGCACTGATCATGCTCACTGCGCTACATTATATTCTACCTGCACACTGGTCACTAATATTACCATATTATTGCTGGGTGACATGGGGTTTAAAGTCACGTCCAAGATTATTGCCCATATATAGCGACGTGCATGTGTATACGTATGTGTGTGGCTGCTTGTACTAGTCCGGACTGATGCCGATGTTATAGTGCTAGCACACTGAGATAACATACCACATCCCTATAGCATGGTTTATTTACCATTCACTTTCCCAAACACCATTATATTTTATTCGAGAGTTCGAGTGAGTGAGTATGGTTTTACGCCGCTTCTAGCAATATTCCAGCAATATCACGGCGGGGGACACCAGGAATGGGCTTCATACAATGTATCCATGTCGGGAATCGAACCCGGGTCTTCGGTGTGACGAGCAAACGCTTTAACCTCTAGGCTACCCGACCGCCCCCACTGATTAAACAGATGAAATATTAAGCCCTGTTGACAAGTGGATCGATGCAAGCTTAATAACAAAAAGGTATTTAAAGTTGAATACCCCACCCTCCCAGTAATACAAAAGTGTTATAGCACTACATTTTGAATAAGAAATAAAGAATAATAAAACATGGTTTATCCCCCTCCATCGTGAAGATGCGGGTTACAACTGATCTTCAGCAAACAATGCTTGTCGTAAAAGTCGGCTAACGGGAACGGGTAGTGGTCAGTTTTGATTATTTACAAATCGCCGTCTTATAGTTATATTGCTGAGTCTTCCGTTAAACAAACAAACAAACAAGCAAACAAACAAGCAAACAAACAAACAAACAAACGTTTACCCCCGAGGCCTCCCCATGCCTACCTGCTGCATCCAGTCCCAGCATCAGGATCCGAGCTGGTTCCGATGAAAACTCACTGTAGATCTGCATAAGCCGTGATAGTAACAAACCCATAGCGATATCACAAAATATCACCTGAACACGATGAATGTTCCTTGAAATGTGTCCCGTTCTGTAGAAACAGTGTAAGTGAATAACAAAGAGTCCGTTGTCCGTTCCCACTCTGAATTATCACCAGCTATTATCCCAAACGTTCTCTGTCTGACTGCCTCACGCTGACATGACCACACACACCACTGACAACCTAATATACTTCACATTCAGGAAGCCAGGCGGCGAAATATACAACACGCAACTTTGCCCTGTCAATTTCTGGCCACGCGGAGTTCTAAAAATAGCTCACGACTGCGATGTGGATCGCGACAGGTTGGCGAAAAAGACGTCACACGGCTATCACCACAACAATCTGGCCACGTGATTGTAGTCAACGCACAATAACGTGATCTTATTGGATCACTTGTTGTGTATATATTACAGTATACAGACATCGGTTTAGTCGTATGTGTGGCCAGAAGACCAATAGTACATCATGTTTACATTAAGGCGTTATAAATGTCACAATGAGCGCACCTTAATATATGCTGTACAAGTAACAGAAGACATTTGTTCACAAAAGGACTGTTCTCTTGTGAAATATATGATACAATAATAGAGATCGCTTAGATAATAGACTATCGTCACCAGTCTGCATAAGTATCAGAAACCTTCAAACGAAGGCCTGATTACAACGTACTGGGGTAAATATTTCATTCTTATGGTACTGTAGTCTGGGCAAATCATCAACACATGAAATGCATCTTCTGTAGGCCAGGAGTATGTTCTGTTTCAGGAGTTTTGGAAAATCACAGTATACATATTGGATATGTTTAATATGTATGTTTCTATGCGTGTGTGTGTGTGTGTGTGTGTGTGTGTGTGTGTGTGTGTGCGTGCGTGCGAGCATGCGTACGTACGTGCGTACGTGCGTGTGTGTGTGTTTAAATTTAACGTCGCATTGGCATTATTGCAGCTGTATATCGACGTGAAGAATTGTGTCACAAAGTTATTTTTACAAACAAATTTGTCAATCATATTTGGGCACGACAACAGTAAATCAAACTATTTCCCGTTAATCAATATTGCTCCATAAAATCATATCGTTCATCACAGATTCCTTTGCGATGTGCTTATTGTTCAATATTTTAAAACACCATTTTGAGGTTGCACAGAGGTGGTGCAAGAGGACATTCATGCATTATGAACCAACACTCATGCATTACCAACCAACACTCATGCATAACCAACCAACACTCATGCATTACCAACCAACACTAATGCATTAGCAATCCACACCAATAAATAATCAACCAAAACTTACGCATTAGCAACCAACACAAATGCATTAGCTACCCACACTAATGTATTACCAACCAACACTAATGCACTAGGAACCCAAACTTATGCATTAGCAACCCACACTAATGCATTACCAACCAACACAAATTCACCAGCAACCAAAACTAATGCATTATCAACCAACACTCATGCATTAGCAGCCAACACGCATGCATTAGCAACCCACACTAATGCATTATCAACCAACACTAATGCATTAACAACCGGCACAAATGCATAACCAACCCACACTAATGCAGTAGCAAGCAACATTAATGCATTAGCTACCCACACTAATGCATTAGCAACCCACACTAATGCATTAGAAGCCCTAACTCTAACCTAACCTAACCTCACCTAAGCCTAACCCTAACCTAACCATGACAAAGTTATAGTTATTTTTTAGCATTTGGACAATGATTAATGTTCATAAATGTAGTACTATTTAATGTAAGGTGGTAAGGAAGTTATTATATTAATATGCTCAAAATATCTGTAAAAGTTCCGTAATATCATGGATGGATGTCAAGAGTTAAAGTAACAGGTGGAATATTCCGTGATGTTCAACGGACACTGGACTTTTCTGACACTGTGTAGAAAATGCTTGAAGCTGGTAACATTATCTAACATTTTGATGTCACAACTGCAATCATATTTTTGCATTTGATACTGCCACTGACCATTGTACTACAACTCTATTGTGAGCTGTCATTGTAATTGCTGTTCAAAAATGAATATTGATATGTAAAACTAGTTAATTGAGTAATACAATTGTTGATTGTATACCATTTGTTGGTTTCACACTAAATTCTGTTATCAACAGATTTTTAGATGAACATATTGTTTCAATTGGATATCGACACCAAACAAGATGTCAGAATCATACTTTGATGAGGAATGTTGATATGAGAGATGGAGTGCTACTGAATGGGAGCCAACACTTGGAAGGCTATCAGTCAACTGTTTGAAGGTGCAAGCGGAAAGTTATTATAATGAAACAAAGTTGCTGTTCAGCGAAATAATTTTGTGCTCCAACACAAGACATATAAAACTGAGTCAAACAACAGTTCTTGCAATAATTTAAAATATCACTTCCTGGTTTTATATAACAGAAAACTGCTTATTTCTTTGTAACTAACACACACCGTGTACCTGACATTTGTCAGCGATGGAGAAACATAACTGTTAATGTTGTCCTATCAATCATGTAGTGCACGATTCTCACTAGTACTACTTCATTGTACAAAATTGCACCAATTAAAAATGCCAGATAAAAATAAAAAACAAATCAAATATTTTACCTTTAAATAGAATATTATTAACTTCTGCTGTCATTATACAACATTGATTTCACTTTGAGTTAATAGCTATAGTGAGTGAGTGAGTTAACGCCGCTTTTAACAGTATTCCAGTTATATCACGGCGTGTCAGTTTAACGTGGAGGAAAAGCCAGAACTGATACAGGTCTCAGACGTTTACCACTTTGGTGAAACCAACGAGCAGGGGTATTGTGCTGACCAACCTGTAAACATAATCAGGGCGAACCGGGATTCAAACCCACAATCATAGGTTTCTGGCATGCTGAAGGGACAAAACTCTGCACAGCGAATCGCGGCGCCTTAGACAACTGAGCCACCCGCCCCCTCTTTGGGTAAATAGGTCCCTCTGATTCACTGCGCTGCCATATTTTCAGTAACTTCAGGTAAACACAATCCCACCTGTGGTCGAATCCCAATCCCTTGTTACACACATTCATTCGTCAACACTCGCCCCTTTCCGTAAACTGCGAGAAGCTTGTCCCGGAATAACAAGAGCTGGCAACGAATGAATCACTTCCTGCTTCTCAATTTCCCTCAACACGAGGTAAGTGTGTGTTGTCACAAGGCCCGTGTCTACTTCAGTTAGAACGCTACACACCTGTCCTACTGTGTCTGGTAACACCACAAGGGTTCATCTAACTATACAGTCATCTCCAGGCAGATTCTCATGACCGGGCACCTAATTAAATGTAACATGTAGGCTAACCGGAATGTTTGAAAGATCTACTTTCACTATTTCCTCCGATCGACCACTTGACTCTAATACTAAGACCGTTCCGGATGTATGTGTATGTATATATCACGTGTGTCTGTTACAGTTATTCTCACTGACATGATCCCTGACAAATCTTGCAGTAAACCATACGGGAAAATACCTCCACATAACTGTATTATTTCATATCTGATATTGTAGTATGTGAACTGTAATAATGTCTCCTACTGTCGATATGGTAATGAGTGGGTGTCACCCCACAACTATGTCACGTGATCGATACACTGCACACACTTCATGTGACCTCGAGTTGAAAATCACCATTCACTATCTGATCACTGACAGGCCACAGATTCAGGCTATATACAGACATGAGAATGGGTAGCTATAAAATACCTGTGTATGTCTCCTTAAGGACCGCCGAGAGTTGAGAAAATATACACACACACACGCACGCACGCTCGCGCGCACGCACACATTCAGACACCCACGCACACAAATACAGTGTTTTGCAGAATGTATGTTCATAATTCATAACATTTGCATACATCTGAGATAATGCTGTTGTTTTTACGAAATGGGATATTTGTTAATTGTTTTAAGATCTGGATGATCCAGGCGGTGAATGGGAGGATAGAAAATACCCTTCTTTAGTTTTGAACGGGACAGTAAATAAGTGCCACAACTACAGTCAGACTTAGTGGTACGTGTTTGAGGTCAGGAAGCTCGGGTTGTGGCTAAAATTTGTATAAGGGTACACCGAAAATACAACGGCTGGTTTTGTCGTTTTGTAGGTAAGATGGCGACCTCCCAGAAGTTAACAGAACACTTCCTGACATGCACGATATGTACAGAGGTGTTTGACAAGGCCTGTACACTTGTATGCAATCACACCTTCTGTCGGAAATGTGTCGTCAACTACACAAAAACCAGACCAGAAGCCATCAGTGCCAAGTCTCTCCTGTGTCCATTCTGCAGCAAGATGACGAAAGTGTCTGCCCCTGAGAGAACAGTGGAGGAGTGGGCGGATGGCGTCAAGCCTAGCTTTGTCATCCAGGGACTCTTGGACTCGTTTGGCCCCGGATCAAAAGGTGGGAGTTTGTGATTTGTACGTATATAAGTGTGGTTCCTAGGTCTGACTGAGTGAGTGTGCTGAGGATACGAACGTGTGTGAAGTTGAGAAGAATGTTTTCTGTAAATTTTCTAAACCTGCTGATGGTGTTGTTTGGAAGGATTGTGTACAAAATACAATCCTATTGTGAACATGTGCTTAATGAGTAACATCCATGTGATCTAAGATCTATCTCAGACACAGACGTTGTCTTTTCTACGATCTATGTGGTGAAATAAACCAGTGCAACAAATCCAGTGTTATTTGAATAAGATTTCACGACAGCACTTATTGAAATGCTTGTGATGCGTATTTTCTCATCCACATCAGTTCATGATGAGCCACAGAATGTGCTATATGGAACATACTTGCACGACGCCGTGTTTCTTTTGGTTTTGGTTTGAGAAAGTTACATGGGATGAGTAGTAGTTGGAAAGATGTAAACCAACATCTAAAAGAAACTTTCTTGTCTCACAAATGTATAAGGGGCGGTCGGGTAGCCTATTGGTTAAAGCGTTCGCTCCTCACGCCGAAGACCCGGGTTCGATTCCCGACATGGGTTCAATGTATGAAGCGCATTTCTGGTGTCCCCAACCGTGATATTGCTGGAATATTGCTAAAAACCATACTCACCAACTCACTCACTCACAAATGTATAACGATATGCTTACAAACGAAGTACATAAATAACTATTGTTTAAAACATTCCTAATTGTAAATTATTACACTAAACATGTTATGTTATTTGGACACAATCATAAGAGGAGATCACGCTCTGTCTTAGACTGGTTTACCTACTCAAGAGAGCTTGCGCTCTTTGCCTACAGCCCCTAGGAGTCGAAGGGCAAGGTACGAGTCGATATATTTCCCCAATGCAGCATTTCGCTACCATGAAACGTTGACCCATTCCGTGACGCGGGTCTGGCTGTCGAGAGGATCGAGGACAGGCCTACAGCGGGAAACTTTGACACAATTTCAATGTAGCGAGGTATTAGCACTTTTGTACAGTGTGAATAATTTACATTAGAGGCTACAGGAGTAAACATATCAGCATTAGGGAGGTAATTCTCACAAGGAAGTACGGTTCATGGTTAAAAAAAACCCAATCACACTCACAACAATTTTAACAATGTAGCTGTTACTTTGAAAAAGATAAATAATTTTCCAGTGTAGACATATCAGTGTCAACAGTATCGCGTACACCACTATGAATGTGTCAACTTAATATCCCCAATGTTAGTTTTGTTAACATTCTATGTTTGTAATCTACTTTTATGTCACATAAAACTTTTGAATGCAATGTGTCCTGATTCTGGAGGACCACATGCAAATTACAATTTGTTTTACTTCTGGATTACACGTGTGCGCTTTATGACAGTAAAGGTACTGCATCAATAGGTTGTTATGCTTCAACATTTCTTAGCCCCGTGTTGATACTCTGGATCAAAGTTATCTTACTATTTCAGATACGACTGACTGCAGTTATTGCAAGGAGGAAGGGGAGACAACTCCAGCTACATCTTGGTGCTCTGTCTGTGACGACGCACTTTGTGAACGATGTATACGGATGCACAAACGAATCCCGTCTTCGCGTCACCATGAAGTAGTTGACCTGTCTGGAGAGACAAAGGTGAAGGTCAAGAGAAAGGTCATGTGTAATGTTCACAAGGATGAAAATATCAAATATATTTGCAAAGATTGTAAAACAGCTGTTTGTCAAACATGCTGCACTATCCATCACAGGAAATGTGACTTGGTTGTTGAAATTGAGTCAGAGATTCCTGCAATGAAAACCGAGCTGAGAAGGAATAAAGAGGATTTGTTGAAGAAACACGACGAGATGAAAACACATGTTAGAAAACAAACCCCCAAAGTCAATGAAGCATTAACGCATTACTTACAAATAGAATCGAATATCAAGTCTGCAAGTCTCAAAGCAATAGAGATGATCAAAGTCAAGGAACGGAAACTTTTGGCTGAACTGAAAGAAATGTCTGACAAACACATTGGAGAACTGAAGGCAGACATAAAGTCAGGTGAGATGTCAGTACAGATGTACCAACAACAGGCTGAGCTGATAGACCAGACTCTACAATCTGAGTGTGACATGGGTGTGTATGAGATGTACCAGGGATGTGAGGCCGGTGATGTGGAGGCTGTCGGAGTCACAGACGTGAAGGAGAAGGGAAGAATAGCCAGGATCATGTTCAGACAGGACACGGACAAGCTGAGTAGAGCACTGGACGATCTACAGCTGGGTGAGATAGACGTCCTGTATGAGGGTGTGCTCGACCTAAAGGCTGCTCCTGTGTTACAGGACACCATTAACGTCAGAGTAGCAGGAGATGTTTATGAACCAAACCCCACTGAAGTGACGGTGTTAGTGGTGAATGGTACAGACACAGTGGTAGTCACAGACTACTTGAACAACAGTGTGAAGTCCTTCTACACCAGGAACAAGCAGCCAGGTCACAGCAGGCTCAGTCTGGAAGGTGGTCCGTGGGGTATAACAAAGTTGAAGGACAACCAGGTGGCTGTCACTGTGCTCGGTACCAGTCAGATTGTAACAGTACAAGTCAACCCTTACCTGGTGCTGCTGTCAACCATCACAACCAGCAAACAGTACTGGGGTATAACGTCTCTGACACCATCAACACTAGCAGCAAGTTCCAGCTCCCCTCCCTGTGTTGATATCCTGGATATGGCGGGACACGTGCTGAAGTCAATTCGTCCAGGCCAACCAAGTAGATACATCTTGAATAATCCCCGCTACCTCTGTACCACGAGGACAGGAAACATCCTGGTGTCTGACAGTGGATCAGAGTGTGTCGTGTGTCTGACTCCCGAGGGAGATGTGGTGTTCACCTACAGCACTACAGGAGACACAGAGATGGAGTATCCACATGGTATCACAAGTACCAGCACAGGAGACATCCTGGTGACAGACATCAATCTACACAGAGTCCTCCATCTGACTGAGTCAGGACAGTTTGTTAGAAACATACTGTCATCACAGGATGGCGTCCAGAGTCCACGTGGAGTGTGTGTTGGTGGGCGTGGTCGTATGTACGTGTGTACACCAAATGTAGTGAAGGTATTTACTTTGAAGTGAATGAACATGTCGCAATCCTCCTTTCAACAAACTATCGTCACGTGAGTTGAGGATTTATGTGTTTTAATATGTGTCATTGTGTATTTACCTGTAAGCACCTTTCACTGTGTTTTAGTAAAATCACATTATATATTGGTGTTGAATCACTCATCTGAGCTTTGCTATTTGAATTTTATGAATTAAGGTCTGTAAGTGGACACATTTTATATGTAATCTCAGTAGCAAAACACGGCTGTACACGCACTGCTTTAATGTTTTCTATTTTATATATTACCAACTTCGAATGTAAGTTGCTTTAATAAAAAATCATTATATCGAAAACCAGATATCCCACATGATGTGTTTTTTAATTTGTGCAACCACTATGACAGTGTAACGGAGCTATTGCTTCTGTGTTATAAATGGCAGGGTTGTGAGCTATGGCGGTGTAGGATGGATATTTACATGACGGTAATCCTTGCTTGCTATGTTGAGGACAATAAGCAGCACTGTTTGTCACAGCTTTACACACGGGGCGCCGTTTTACCATCTATTCCTGATTTATATTAACAATTCATTTTATGATACCCCAAAATGAATTATTGTTATCATAATGCTAGTGTATAATGGGTCTATTCGTGATATCTGATCTATCTGTGGAATATTTAAGTGACGTCCAGACTTCCTTGATATGCGGAAACAAGACAAAACAACAACACTGTTTTGTTACAGACTTACAGACATTCTTCCGACCACATTGATCCGGGCGACAGTTGCACTGCTGTGGAGGCCCGCGAGTCTGGCGTTTCGACAGGCTGATCATGTGACATGCGGTACGAAAACCGCCATTACAGTCAAAGTGAAAAGCCCGTATTAAGCAGCCGTTGTGACCAACCGATCTCCAATTTAGTCACCTTGTATAACATGTGTTGAAATCAAGGGACGAATTTAAGTACAATGTCAGTCGCAGAATCACCTGAAACTATTATTCTACATATACATTAAATGTACTGATTGTTTTGGTAACTTTAATGAACTGTTTCGCGTTATGAAGCATGGAACCGACAGCTCTCTCGTTTCTGCGGTGAGGACCTGTCACATTTACTTGGTAACTGAGAGGTCGAAGGGAGATAAATCGTGATTAGATGTTTTTTGAAGCGCAATAAAATATAGTGAACGAATATACTCGTAAAGCCAAGAACATTGTATCAGAGAGTGCTGTTTATGTGTGTTGCAAATATATAAGTCCTCTGTAATTCTACGTTTGTTGGTCAAAACCGCGTTATTCAAGCTACGTGTATGACTGTAAATAATCCAGTATGGACCCGTGAAACCAGTGACTGACATCACGAGCAACATCCCAAGTCGTTGGGTCACGATGACACTGTATCAACCAAGTAGCGGAGTCTGAGCATTTGGTCGCCTCGTTCGACACGCACAGGTTGCTGAGGACCTATTCTAACCCGGAATCCCCACGTTGAAACCTAAATGGAGACCAGGGAATAAAATCTGACATCAGTTTCGCCATGTTTGTTTTGCCGACGTGGGCAACCTGAACATACTATACAATCAATAGGAGCAAGTGATCTATCTACTGCCGAGGGGGCTCTTTTCCACCTGGGTACTGTTGTTTTGTACCCAGGGTACATGCATCGAGATGTTTTTGATGTTCTCTGATTTCTATGTGTACCTTTCCTGTACCCCACATATATAAAATTGTACCCAGATTTCACTGCAAATAAATAATACTTTGTCAAACCCTGCGTAACAGTAGTACCAGAATCTTGTAGTCACCCTGTCGTTATTGTGGAAATCCTACAGGATACAACTAGTAAACTCACCTGTCCATGTCAGTCAGTCTCTGTTCAGCATGGTCATGTTAACAGCAGAAAGAAACTCACTCCCATAAACATGATAAAATTGATCTACTTCGTTTACATGCCAGTGCAGCGTAGATATGCCATAGAATCCACATTTATACCCAACAAATAACATAATTACTCAAATAATTTTTCATAGGTTTGTCAGTGCCATGGTTTCACCAAAGTGGTAAATGTCCGAGACCTTCCATAGTTTGGGCTTTCGGGCGATATTAAGGTGGCGCGCCAGCATATAACTGGACTACTGTTGAAAGCGGCGTTATCCATGACTTACTCACTCAAAAACAGACTAACACAACGCATATTACTATGTCTGTCTGAATACAGACTGATTATGTTCAACAGGATATAATGGAATAAAAGTTTCCAAACATAAAACATGATGGAAACAACTTACTGCACTCCAGTTAATCTACCACGTGCCATTCAGCTAGCAACAAGGGTGCTTTATAAAAATGATGGAATGTTTTGATATTCACGAATTCATACACCGAACCTATTCACGCTCATGCATTACCAACCAACACTAATACATTATCATGCCACACAGATGATATAAACCCACACTAATGTTTCACAACCCCACACTAATGCATTGCCAACCAACACTCATACATTACCAACTCACCCTAATACATTACCAACCCACACTTATACATTACCAACCAACATTCATACATTACCAACCCACACTAATACATTACCAACCCACACTAATACATTACCAACCCACACTAATACATTACCAACCCACACTCATACATTACCAACTCACACTCATACATTACCAACTCACACTCATACATTACCAACCAACACTAATACATTACCAATCAACACTAATACATTACCACCCCCCACTAATACACTACCAACCCATACTAATACATTACCAATCAACACTAATACATTACCAACTCACACTCATACATTACCAACCCACACTAATACATTACCAACTCACACTAATACATTACCAACCCACACTAATACATTACCAACCCACACTTATACATTACCAACTCACACTCATACATTACCAACCCACACTAATACATTACCAACTCACACTCATACATTACCAACCCACATTAATACATTACCAACTCACACTAATACATTACCAACCCACACTAATGCATAACCAACCCACACTAATACATTACCAACTCACACTCATACATTACCAACTCACACTAATACATTACCAACCAACACTTATACATTACCAATCAACACTAATTCATTACCAACCCACACTAATACATTACCAACCAACACTAATACATTACCAACTCACACTCATACATTACCAACCCACACTAATACATTACCAACTCACACTCATACATTACCAACTCACACTCATACATTACCAACCCACACTAATACATTACCAACCCACACTAATACATTACCAACTCACACTCATACATTACCAACCAACACTAATGCATTACCACCCCACACTAATACATTACCAACCAACACTCATACATTACCAACCAACACTAATACATTACCAACCCACACTAATACATTACCAACTCACACTCATACATTACCAACTCACACTCATACATTACCAACTCACATTCATACATTACCAACCCACACTAATACATTACCAACCCACACTAATACATTACCAACTCACACTCATACATTACCAACCAACACTAATGCATTACCACCCCACACTAATACATTACCAACCAACACTCATACATTACCAACCAACACTAATACATTACCAACCCACACTCATACATTACCAACCAACACTAATACATTACCAACTCACACTCATACATTACCAACTCACAATAATACATTACCAACTCACACTCATACATTACCAACTCACACTCATACATTACCAACCCACACTCATACATTACCAACCAACACTAATACATTACCAACTCACACTCATACATTACCAACTCACACTCATACATTACCAACTCACATTCATACATTACCAACCCACACTCATACATTACCACCCCACACTAATACATTACCAACCAACACTCATACATTACCAACCAACACTAATACATTACCAACCCACACTAATACATTACCAACCCACACTCATACATTACCAACTCACACTCATATATTACCAACTCACACTCATACATTACCAACCCACACTTATACAGTACCAACTCACACTCATACATTACCAACCCACACTAATACATTACCAACTCACATTCTTACATTACCAACCCACACTCATACATTACCAACCCACACTCATACATTACCAACCCACACTAATACATTACCAACTCACACTCATACATTACCAACTCACATTCATACATTACCAACCCACACTCATACATTACCAACCCAAACTCATACATTACCAACTCACATTCATACATTACCAACCCACATTCATACATTACTAACTCACTATAATACATTACCAACCCACACTAATACATTACCAACCCACATTCATACATTACCAACCCACACTCATACATTACCAACTCACACTCATACATTACCAACCCACATTCATACATTACCAACCCACACTAATACATTACCAACTCACATTCATACATTACCAACCCACACTTATACATTACCAACTCACACTTATACATTACCAACTCCCACTAATACGTTACCAACTCACACTCATACATTACCAACCCACACTTACACATTACCAACCCACACTAATACATTACCAACACACACTCATACATTACCAACTCACACTAATACATTACCAACCCACACTTATACATTACCAACTCACACTCATATATTACCAACTCACACTCATACATTACCAACTCACACTCATACATTACCAACTCACACTAATACATTACCAACCCACACTAATACATTACCAACCCACACTCATACATTACTAACTCACACTTATACATTACCAACTCACACTCATACATTACCAACCCACACTAATACATTACCAACTCACACTCATACATTACCAACTCACACTCATACATTACCAACCCACACCAATACATTACCAACCCACACTAATACACTACCAACCCACACTCATACATTACTAACTCACACTAATACATTACCAACTCACACTCATACCTTACCAACTCACACTAATACATTACCAACCCACACTAATACATTACCAACTCACACTCATACATTACCAACCCACACTAATACATTACCAACCCACACTAATACATTACCAACTCACACTCATACATTACCAACCCACAATAATACATTACCAAACCACACTAATACATTACCAACTCACACTCATACATTACCAACTCACACTCATACCTTACCAACCCACACTTATACATTACCAATCAACACTCATACATTACCAACCCACATTAATACATTACCAACCCACACTAATACATTACCAACCCACACTAATACATTACCAACCAACACTAATACATTACCAACCCACACTAATACATTACCAACTCACACTCATACATTACCAACTCACACTCATACATTACCAACCCACACTAATACATTACCAACCCACACTAATACATTACCAACTCACATTCATACATTACCAACCCACACTCATACATTACCAACTTACACTAATACATTACCAACCCACACTCATACATTACCAACTCACACTAATACATTACCAACTCACACTCATACCTTACCAACTCACACTAATACATTACCAACCCACACTAATACATTACCAACTCACACTCATACATTACCAACCCACACTAATACATTACCAACCCACACTAATACATTACCAACTCACACTCATACATTACCAACCCACAATAATACATTACCAAACCACACTAATACATTACCAACTCACACTCATACATTACCAACTCACACTCATACCTTACCAACCCACACTTATACATTACCAATCAACACTCATACATTACCAACCCACATTAATACATTACCAACCCACACTAATACATTACCAACCCACACTAATACATTACCAACCAACACTAATACATTACCAACCCACACTAATACATTACCAACTCACACTCATACATTACCAACTCACACTCATACATTACCAACCCACACTAATACATTACCAACCCACACTAATACATTACCAACTCACACTCATACATTACCAACTCACACTTATACATTACCAACCCACACTAATACATTACCAACCCACACAAATACATTACCAACTCACATTCATACATTACCAACCCACACTCATACATTACCAACTCACACTCATACATTACCAACTTACACTAATACATTACCAACCCACACTCATACATTACCAACTCACACTCATACATTACCAACTCACACTCATACATTACCAACTCACATTCATACATTACCAACCCACACTCATATATTACCAACTCACACTCATACATTACCAACCCGCACTAATACATTACCAACTCACACTCATACATTACTAACCCACACTTATACATTACCAACTCACACTCATATATTACCAACTCACACTCATACATTACCAACTCACACTCATACATTACCAACTCACACTAATACATTACCAACCCACACTAATACATTACCAACCCACACTAATACATTACCAACCCACACTAATACATTACTAACTCACACTAATACATTACCAACTCACACTCATACATTACCAACCCGCACTAATACATTACCAACTCACACTCATACATTACCAACCCACACTAATACATTACCAACCCACACTAATACATTACTAACCCACACTCATACATTACCAACCCACACTAATACATTACCAACCCACACTAATACATTACCAACCCACACTCATACATTACTAACTCACACTAATACATTACCAACTCACACTCATACCTTATCAACCCACACTAATACATTACTAACCCACACTCATACATTACCAACCCACACTAATACATTACCAACCCACACTAATACATTACCAACCCACACTAATACATTACTAACCCACACTAATACATTACCAACCCACACTAATACATTACCAACCCACACTAATACATTACCAACCCACACTAATACATTACCAACTCACACTCATACATTACCAATCAACACTAATACATTACCAACCCACACTAATACATTACCAACTCACACTCATACATTACCAACTCACACTCATACATTACCAACCCACACTCATACATTACCAACCCACACTAATACATTACCAACTCACACTAATACATTACCAACTCACACTCATACATTACCAACTCACACTCATACATTACCAACTCACACTAATACATTACCAACTCACACTAATACATTACCAACTCACACTCATACATTACCAACCCACACTAATACATTACCAACTCACACTCATACATTACCAACTCACACTCATACATTACCAACCCACACTAATACATTACCAACCCACACTAATACATTACCAACTGACACTCATACATTACCAACTCACACTCATACCTTACCAACCCACACTTATACATTACCAATCAACATTCATACATTACCAACCCACACTAATACATTACCAACCCACACTAATACATTACCAACCCACACTAATACATTACCAACCCACACTAATACATTACCAACCAACACTAATACATTACCAACCCACACTAATACATTACCAACTCACACTCATACATTACCAACTCACACTCATACATTACTAACCCACACTAATACATTACCAACCCACACTAATACATTACCAACTCACACTCATACATTATCAACTCACACTCATACATTACCAACCCACACTAATACATTACCAACCCACACACATACATTACCAACCCACACTAATACATTACCAACCAACACTCATACATTACTAACCCACACTAATACATTACCAACTCACACTAATACATTACCAACTCACACTAATACATTACCAACCCACACTCATACATTACCAACTCACACTCATACATTACCAACCCACACTAATACATTACCAACCCACACTAATACATTACCAACTCACACTCATACATTACCAACCGACACTTATACATTACCAACCCACACTAATACATTACCAACTCACACTCATACATTACCAACCAACACTAATACATTAACAACTCACACTAATACATTACCAACACACACTTATACATTACCAACTCACACTCATACATTACCAACCCACACTAATACATTACCAACTCACACTAATACATTACCAACCCACACTAATACATTACCAACCAACACTCATACATTACCAACCCACACTAATACAATACCAACTCACACTAATACATTACCACCCCCCACTAATACATTACCAACTCACACTAATACATTACCAACCCACACTAATACATTACCAACTCACACTCATACATTACCAACCAACACTAATGCATTGCCAACCAACACTAATTCATTATCAACTCACACTAATACATTACCAACCCGGGGTCACCGGTGGCCCAGTCGTCTGAGGCGCCGCGATTCGCTGTGCAGAGTTGCGTCCCTTGGGCATTCCTGAAACCTATGATTATGGGTTCGAATACCGGTTCGCCCCAATTATGTTTCTACGTTTTTCAGCACCATACCCATGCTCGTGGGTTTCACCGAACTGGTAAACGTCTAAGACCTGCATCACTTTCCTCCCACACTAAGCTGACATCCCGCGATATGACTTAAATATTGTTAAAAGCGGCGTCACTCACTCCATATCTCTCAACATCTCTGTTTTGAGGTTGCACATTAGTCCATTATTATTCTCTCACATTAGTCTCTATTCATGTTACATTGAACCCCTCCATAAGTCGATTAAAGGGACCTTATTTGGTCTGTCATTCTGTTGGAGTCGTGTTACAGAGAGATATGAATGATATGAGAGACAAGATGACACAGAGAGGGGTTCCTGTGTCTTACTGTCACTTAAAGACAAACAATGTCCACGTGGAGTGGAAAATAATTGTATTATTCCAATTTCATACAAACATTTGATCATTTATAACAATTACATGTTCAAGTACAGTAAACTACGGTTATAACGAACTCAAAGGGACCACTAATTTTAGTTCGTTATAACCGTAGTTCGTTATAAGCATATACACAACATTTATACAACAAATGGCCTGGGCTAAAAATAAGTTCGTTATATCGGTCAGTTCGTTATAAGCGTGTTCGCTTTAACCGTAGTTTACTGTACAAAATATCAAAACATGTACATACAGCATAGACGTTTATACACTTACTACAAATATAAACTTTGCTAGGTTTTAAAATAGATAAACACTGAACAAACATCAATAGGAATGTTAGAATCATATGAGTATTTACACGATGAATTATACACAAAACCGTACATAAATACAAGTGAAAGACTGATAACGCCATTGATCCAGAGTCATCACGCGACAACAGGACTAGAATCGGTAATCACGATGAGAGACTGGGTTTGAGACTGAATCAGTAAAATGGCGTTGACCTTTTTTGTTCTGGCGGCATAGGGTCCTCCTTCTGGCTTCCACCGCAATGCAAACATGACAGGCCTTGTCAATGTCGTATTACTGCATGTCAGCTGTCATGTCACACACTGCTCATAGTTAATGGGACAAAAAAATGTATATATATGAGAGGTGACGTCGAGTTATGCCATGTCTTTATCACACTAGCCCATGCAGGTTTTAACACAGATACTCTTCAGTCGGTCATCCCTGACCATGTCTTTATCACATCCACCCATGCAGGTTTTAACACAGATACTCTTCAGTCGGTCATCCCTGACCATGTCTTTATCACATCCGCCCATGCAGGTTTTAACACAGATGCTCTTCAGTCGGTCATCCCTGACCATGTCTTTATCACATCCACCCATGCAGGTTTAAACATAGATACTCTTCAGTCGGTCATCCCTGACCATGTCTTTATCACATCCACCCATGCAGGTTTAAACATAGATACTCTTCAGTCGGTCATCCCTGAGCTTCTGGACACTATCACAGATGTATATTTGTGGTTATTTCTGATTCTGGCGAGTTACCTCCTCCTGCTCTGTTTGAAATCCTTCACCAGTCTGGACATTTCCTCCAGACCCTCAAACAGTCCTTCCCCGGTCGTTGCGCATGTCCCCTGGATGTACCACTTCCGGTCCGTCAACTTCTGAAGGTGAAGGGCGTCCACTACTTCCGACAACTTGGCGGCAGCTTCAGGAAAAACGTGTAAAGAAGCCACATCAATACAGTGGTGAGTGAGTGAGTGAGTGAGTGAGTGAGTGAGTGAGTGAGTGAGTATGGCTTTACGCCGCTTTTAGCAATATTCCAGCAATATCAGGGCGGGGGACACCAGAAATGGGCTTCGCACATTGTACCTATGTCAGGAATACAACCCGGGTCTTCGGCGTGACGAGCGAACGCTTTACCCACTAGGCCCCCAATACAGTGGTAGTGAGAAGAGACTTTGTTACCGTGTGTTACAATATATTTACTTTCAAAACACCAATACTTGCTTACTGATAATGTTCAACCGAAATAATATAACACAATCATAATATGACAAGAAATTTTATGGATAGCAACTTCTTCATTATACGGACATAGCGTTTCGGGAATAAAGTGTCTGCCCCTTCATCAGCTGATGAAAGACTTAATATAAAAAACCCTATTCATACGTAAACCTAACGTCTAATTGCCTACAAAGACTTTAAGAAATCATAATAATAATCATCGTCATCATCACTACATTCATAATCAGCAGCAGCATCAGTATCATAATAATTGGAAATAAAGACAATCCTGCGCCTTAAGCTGTGTATGTTGCCAATACAAGGGCAGCCACATTCATTTTCTGAATCGCCCATGTGCCTACCTGGCAAGTCTTGCTTGTTAGCCAGGACGACGACAGGAACGGATCTCATCTCGTCGCTGTCGATGACGTTCATCAGTTCATCTCGTGACTCGGCAAACCTCTCCCTGTCGTTGGTGTCAACCACGTACAAGATACCTAAAATAAACAAGCTGATATTCAGTTCTGGACACAGAGCGCGAAAGGGTGGAATCTTCACAAACCTCTCGACAAAGGAGTTCACATAGTTTCACGATGTCAGTAATCGACACCAAATGCAGGACAAAGGAAGGCAATGACCATTTGGCTACCAACCTTCACATATTAGAAACAGTTATGCTGTACATATGTACAGGTATTTAAGAATGTTCAGGTAGCAGATTATTAGTGATATTGTCATTGATGAGACTCACGTCAGGAATGTCAGGAATCGAACCCAAATGTGGGACAAAGGAAAGCGTTAACCACATGACCAGCTACCCGCGTCCCAATATCTAGTCCCGACAATATAGTTTTGTAAGGGGGCCATGAGATGAGAAAACAACGGTGTTTCCGAGTTTAGAGACGTAATAGGAAACTGACCACTGCAGTTCTGGAAGTAGTGTCTCCACAGGGGTCTGATCTTGTCCTGACCGCCGACATCCCACACGGTGAAGTTGACGCCCTTGCAGGGGCTGACGGTCTCCACGTTGAAGCCGATGGTGGGGATTGTGGAGACGACCTCGTTCAGCTTTAGCTTGTACAGGATCGTCGTCTTACCTACAACATGCAGACCATGGTCCATGCAATCATTGTGTCACGCAAATAACTTTAATATAGTGTGCATTCGTACCACATAAACAAAATGTATTTTTGTGTTTTTGCCCATGTAAAAGGTAATAAATATTCAATTTTTCACACTTTCTTTCAGTTAAAATCACAGCTGAATATGAAAATATGTATATTTTGTAAGAAAATGCTAAAACATAATAATAAATACATATTTGTTTACATTTGAAAAAAATAATGAATGAAGAAAGTGATACCTTAAACTTAAATGAATAACTTTTATTTGAATAAAATAAAATACCGTTATCTTGATAATAGTTTGTTAAAAAGGTAATTGCCCTAAACATTAATAACATACCGGCAGCATCGAGTCCGACCATCAGAATTCTAGCTGGGTCTCTGGTAAACCCGGAGAATAGGCCTGTGAAGTCAGCAAGTTTATCCAAGATAACACCCATGGCTGTTTTGTTTTGACGCGAGTTGTGAAAGAAAGTGATATTCAAAGTCTAAAACAGTACTCAGTGTTGATCGATGGGAATGTCGTCTCCAGTTGTCTCGATCAGAGTGTGAATGTTTCAGTCTTATTGAACCTGGTTTATATAGACGGCTAGGTTCCAGCGTGGAGCGATATGTGTGTTTATGTTTCTAGCACTGATGCAAGCTGGTATCCCGTTGTCATATTCTACACGCACACCTGCTGACAACACTCGGAACACCTTGCGCGGGACACGCTGGAGAAAATGACGTCACGGTAATCCGGATCACGTGACTGGGAATCCCCTCTAAAAATAGCCATCTTCGCTGCGGGTAAATATTTTGTTTTGCCGATGCAGATGAAGTTGATTTCCTTCGAATTGTTTGTGATGCTGGGTAACTGAATTAGACGAAAGTGATGCTGGTTAGTGTGTTTACAGGTCAGGAAGCAGTCTGGGTCCGGCATGTTGTAGCTCAGACTGTTCAAGCGTGAAACAACCTTCACCTTGCGAATGATCGCCTTCCGCTTCAGCATTCGTCCCTTTCCGTAACCAGTCGTTCTTTTTTCCCGGAATTACCCGAGTCGACGCGAGTTTTTCGGTATCACGTGTGCTATTATCATGATTATTATGTGAACTGTTTTATGACTATTTTTCCAACAACGCTGCAAGGATATTGAAATGTAAACCTGGCAGTGTATATTCTTCTTATAAGTCGTACAAAAGATATATCTGTCTATTTTAACATGTGAAGGAAATGTAAGGTTTCTCCTAGCTCAAACTGACTGTCCAGCCCAGACAGTTTAATACAACTAAAGATCCATCGCCAAAAGGTTATCTTTCAGAAATAGAAAATGATTAAAATATCATTTCCGTCTCATTTCTTATGAACCCCCGAATATTACCGCGTAGAAGCATCCTTTCAAAGCGTATCTCTATACTAGCAACCATAGCATATTTGTATAAATCGTGTCCACATATTTATGAATATTGTTACCCATGACCTGATGAACGTAACACATGTGACTGTTTGTAAATCTATATTGCACGTGCACAGTATGTGTATCAATTACGTAAAAATACTCCTTCCTCTGCTTTTTGTGAACAAAACAAACAAACCTCCACCCACCCAACCCCCTCACGTCAGGTTGCATTCGGCAGAATCAAAAGGTAGACCTTCACAGACTGTACGTTTTTGGTTTTCATTTTTCGTATTTATTGTGAGGGTCGACGAATCCATAAAGCTTTTAACACTGACATTGCGTTTACCTGTGATAAAATGGAGGGTTGACTGGATAAAGGGAGGTAACTCTTACAGCTTTACAGTCAGCGTTCGGTGGGTTTCTTGATTCCTGGAGAGTATGCCGTGGGAACAGGTCTACCTGCAAAGGTGAGGTGAAATGGGGTTTAACGTCGCGTCCAAGATTATTGCACTTATATAACGACGTGAATGCACGTGTGTGTGTGTGTTTGTGTGTGTGTGTGTGTGGCTGCTTGTACTAGTCCGGACTGATGCCGATTTATAGTGCTAGCTCACTGAGATACCATGCTGCAGTTTAACATGAATACCCCACTCAGACACATTTTAACGTCTTTTGGAGGCGGTTTCTACGTTAATTAAACAACTACTTCCTTTGTCTGATGTAAGTGACTAAGTGTTTTTAATTACGAATAAACGTCAACTTAATGAACCAGCAATTAACCTTATTGTACCGCATTTACATAATATATCATTTTGATTATATTTGTATATTTGTAGGCAAAGTCATTATCACTGAAACTCAGTCAGGCATAGTCAGTGTACTTGCTAAACGATCGTCTTTAAATGGGTGATTCCTATTTAAAACAATTGAGGTTGTATTTTAAATTATCTCGCTGTTGGTTCTGATAATAAAAACACCTTTGAAGATTCGGGTTAGAATTGGTCTTCAATAACCCATGCTAGTCGTAAAAGGCGACTAACGGGATCAGGTGGTCAGGCTTGCTGACATGGTTGATGCATGTCATCCTATTCCAATGTCGAACGATGCTCATGATGTCAGTCACTGGATTGTCGGGTCCAGACTCGATTATTCACAGACCGCCGTTATATAGCGGCGTTAAACACACACATAAACAATAAACAAAGACACTCGTTCATAAGGGCGAATGTCTAGAAGAACCAAGGGGGTACATTGTAGAGCCTTCTAGGTATGTCCCGCCTTTGGCAATGTGAACGTGACAGAAGAGTGTCCCTTGTACATGTCCATTCCAACTATTGACACATTTGCATCCCGTCAACTCGACCATGTGCAGTACGTGCCCCTGTACGGAGCTTGGTACAGTGGTGTTTACCGGTCTCCACTAGCGGGCTGTTGTCAAGTTTGACAGGTCTGGTTAAATCCGGTCGATGTTGTACACTTCAAAATTCGAGGATATTCTTTGACTTGACACAGTATTAGCTAGGATTATTTCAAATTGAAAATATTGATATATATTTTGCATTGACAAATATTTATTTTGATAACATTTATTAATCTATTTAAAGCTCGTATCTTTCATTTGTATAATTCCTGCTTTATTCTGCAATGTTCTGAATAATGAAAGTTGAAATGTAATGTGGCGAAAAGAGTCAGGGTGGAGTGGATACGGGTGTTTAAGGACTGGCATGTAGTGCTGTTATTTACTTGGCATAATCTAACCTGGGATAAAAATGAAAATGTAAAAGACAGATGGGAATTCCTGTATAATGAAGCAAAGACAAATATACGCCCCACTAGATATAAAACACAACGAAGCATTTAATTGCTTCTGTAGAAATATGTTCTTGAAAAGTGTTTCTGCACAGTGTACCATTGTTATAACTACCAAAAGAATAAGTATTTTTGTTAGGAAAACCACAGTGACACTGAACAAACACGATACTGAAAACCCCGTTCTTGGATTAAGCAGCGGTAAAACAGAGCGATCGATGACTACCTTTATTCAACGGTTTTCTAGCATGATTCTGATTGTATCCGTCCCGCAATGTATAAAATGTGAAGTTTAATGTCCCGGACTGTCAAGGCACACTTTACCTCGACTTCACACAGGAAGAGGGGATACCAGTGGCATAACAAGCGTTCCTGACAGGTGCCCCATGGCCTCTCCCCCCTCCCCTTACCTTCTCCCCCTCCAGGGTCCACCGAGACCGCTGACCTGTGGCCTGTGTCCACACCGTCGTGTTATTTGGCGGGGAGGCGAGACGAACTGACGGACTGACGCTCGTTGTTGTCACATTACAGACATGTGGTGTGTAGGTGGGTTCGTGGGGGAGGGGGTGGGAGAATTGTGGCTCCGAAAACGGAGGAGGGGGATGTTGGACAGGTGACAACCTCTCCCACGTACCTGCTTCATATTCCGCATGTCGGGCCTGGGTCGATGCCCTGCGTTACATTCTGCCGAGCATGTCATGCCTCGCACAGCCCACACAAACTCATCGCTCAACACTTGATCTGCTTCCCACTGCGGCTACTGATACTGCTATGGCCACTAACCACTACCAAAGCAGACATACACCGTTGACTGCTACTACTACTACAGTCGACATACCTTCTAGTTTCACTTTACGGTTACATTTTAGTTTCACTTAATAATTAAACTTTCAAGTTTCACTTTACAGCTACATTTTACAGTTTCATTTTAAATTTACTTTAATATTTTCACTTAACAGTTACATTTTAGTTTACTTTACAGTTTCACATTTGTTACATTTTACAGTTTCACTTTATAGTTACATTTTCATATTTCACTTTATAGTTACATTATAGTTTTACTTTACAGTTTCACTTTACAGTTACATTTTAGTTTCACTTTACAGTTACACTTTACAGTTACATTTTAGTTTCACTTTCCAGTTTCACTTTACAGTTACATTTTAGTTTCACTTAGCAGTTTCATGTTACAATTTCACTTTACAATTACATTTTTATTTCACTTTACAGTTTCACTTTACAGTTACACTTCACAGTTACACTTAACAGATACACGGGACAGTTACTGTTGCTGGTATGCTATCGCCACGTCACATCTGCCACTTCTGTTGATGTTAACGTGATTACATCAGTTCTCTTAGTGTATCTGGGGCGGTCGGGTAGTCTATTGGTTAAAGCGTTAGCTCGTCACGCCGAAGACCCGGGTTCGATTCCCGACATGGGTACAATATGTGAAGCCCATTTCAGGTGTCCCCCGCCGTGATATTGCTGGAATATTGCTAAAAGCGGCGTAAAACCAAACTCACTCACTCACTTAGTGTATCTCTTTGTGTATCTGGTTAAATATTTTACGTGCGCTTCGCAGAACCTGCATTCAACTGTCCCGAACCCTCTTCCTCATGTTACCCGTTGTCCATGAATCAAGTCCTTGATAGGCATTTACATGTCCATGTATCAGTAAATAATCAACCACGCCTAACATACTAATGGAAAGAAATATTGGACGGATGTAACGGGAACCATGTGTGGGGCGAGATATAACGTTTATACAACGAATGTAACGTACATTGTGATTGGCCGTGGAGATACTATTCAGCCAATGACAGAGGTTGCTCAAACGAATAATTTTAATTGAACAAAGCAGTAACCATACAACGATGTTGCAGTATCTTCCCTTATTTATTTCCTTCAGTATATTTGAAATGTTTATCTGCAGGTATGTCCTCACACATAACCATTATTTGATTGTTTGCTAGTTTTTGTCTGACGCCAGTCAGCTATATTGAAGCCATAGCAGTCCGAACATTCGAGTCAATGAGAGACAAACCGGTGGTTGATATTATGAGCATTATAGTTGTCGGGTACGAGGACGGGCAAGCAATGGCCGAGTTTGACCACTTGATCCAATCTTACCGCCTCTTGCGACAGTGCCATAGACCACTGGGGGCCTCTCTGACACGAGTTTCCATGGAATCATCTGATTGTTTGACGTAGATAGTACAGTGAGTGAGTGAGTATGGTTTTACGCCGCTTTTAGCAATATTCCAACAATTCCACAGCAGGGGACACCAGAAATGGCTTCACACATGGTACCAAGGTGGGGAATCGAACCCGGGCCTCGACACGAGGAGTGAACGCTTCAACCACTAAATTACCCCTATCGCGCCTGACCACCTCCGTGATCTAGTGGTAGATGATCCGCCCGGAGAGCGGACGGTACGGGGTTCGATCCCCGACCGCGTCATGCCAAAAGACGTTAAATGATGGCACTTATTGTTACCCTGCCTGGCGCTCGACATTGAGGGGCTAAAAACAAGAACTGGTCGGCTCGGAGTCAGTATACTGTGTCTGAATTGGTTATTCATGTTAAACTGCGGCATGGTCTCTCTCTCTCTCTCTCTCTCTCTCTCTCTCTCTCTCTCTCACACACACACACACACACACACACACACACACACACACGTGTGTACATGTCGCTATATAAGTGCAATAA